ACATTGTTCAGACTTCCCTGCTGTGCAAACACTGAGATTTTCTCGGTGCTAGAATCTATTCTAATTCACAAGTTTGCATTAACCTTCTTCGTGGTCTCAGATTATTCATCTCTTAATAATTCATGGAGGTATTTTACACCCTCTGTTCTGCATGAAGTTTTATCTCACACGATGCTAGGACGTCCCCCTTTGTGTGCTGTGTCACTGCATCATGTATCAGTGAGACCTCAGTGCGTGGGCTTGAGTAGTTAACTATCAGATAGCCAAGTCCTGGATGGTCTTTGCATGGCCAGCCCACACTGAACTGCTGGAAATTCGTACTTAGGGCGGGAGATGGTTGATGAAGAAACTCAAACATGATGCATGAGCCTGTTTTCAGCTTATATTTTTCCCTTTGTTTCCTGTTTTTAGCGTCCCACCACTGAAAGCCAGTGAGAAATCCAGCACGAGGTTTAAACTCACTCCTTCTGCAACAGGTCCCAAACATCTACTTGTTAATTTCTCCTGTGATAAATTTGCAAATATCAAGACCTTTAAGATGGTAAATGTGATTGACTAACGAGCAGATACACAAGGAATGGTCTGTGTGTGCACAAAGTGAACAAAAGGTTGTAATCTTGCATAAGAAAACAGTGAGAAAATTAGCCAAACCTCCTGTGAACAGGGGTTACCAGCGTCCCAGTGCTACACGTTCACATTGTGATTTTAAATAAACTGAGGAATGGTTGATTCTTCACTCGTGTTGCAAGTGTTCATGTTATTAAAAAGAACATCATACCTCCTGTTGAGAATGAATGTTTGGCTTCTGTCTCGCTTTCTCTGGAAAACATTCCTTCTGGCTCCAGCTGTCTCTACTCAAACATTCATACGCTCGCTTTCACACATTCAAAGCCGCCTAGAGCGGACCTTCCAAGCTGCTTCTCCTGGCTGCAGCCATGACACCACAGAGTAGCCAGGATGAGTGGCATGATTTACACCATTTGACTTCAAAGTCTGTCCTGACATTTTTCCTTTCTTTGGTAAATCACAGTGACCAGGTGAGGCACAGGAAACGTTCAAAAGGAACTGGGGTGGTGCCCAACTTGAGAGCCGTTTGACAAACATGTTGAGATCGTTTCCCAGCCCAACACAGGTGACAGTTTTGCATGCTGGTGTGTTTTCTTTGGGAATCAAAAGGAGTCTTAGTTTTAAGTCTAAGGTATTTTAACTTGAGAGGAGTTAGGAATTCTTCACTATAGACCGTGTGTCAGGAGGTCATATTTGAGAAGTCACAGCTGCCTGGGGAAGTGCCCACTGACTCGGTAAGAGTAAACATAACTCGTTTTTCAAGAAGGAAAGAAGGGCGCAGGGAACTCCAGGCCAGTCAGTCTCATGTCTGCACCCAGCAAGATCATGGCGCAGATCCTCCTGGAAACCATGCTAAGGCACAGAGAAAACAAGGAGGGGATCGGTGACAACGAACATGGCTTCACCAAGGGCAGATGGAGCCTGAGAAACGTGGTGGCTTCTACGATGGGGTTATGGTGGTGGTGGCATCCTTGACTCTAAATTGGAGATACAAGGATTTGATGGGTGGACAACTTGGTGGGTGAGGAATTGGCTGGATGCTTGCCCTCAAAGAGTTGCAGTGACCAACTCTACGTCCAAGTGGAGACCAGTGACAAGTGCCGTTCCTCGGGGGTCAGTACTGGGACTGGCACTGTTCAACATCTTTGTTGGCAAAATGGACAGTGGGTCGAGGGAGGTGATTGTACCCCTCTGCTCTGCTCTGGGGAGATCCCACCTGGAGTTCTGTGTCCAGCTCTGGGGCCCCCAACACATGAAAGACATGGGCCTGTTAGAGTGGGTCCAGAGAAGAGCCACAAAAATGATCAGAAGGCTGGAGCCCCTCTGCCATGGGGACAGGCTGAGAGAGTTGGGGGTGGTCAGCCTGGAGAAGGGAAGCTCCGGGGAGACCTCAGAGCCCCTTCCAGTGCCTGGAGGGCTACAAGAAAGCTGGGGGGGGGGCTTTTCCCAAGGGCAGGGAGTGACAGAACAAGGAGTGACGGGGTTAAATGGAAAGAGGGAGATGGAGATTGGACATCAGGAAGGAATTCTTCCCAGAGGGGGTGGGGAGGCACTGGGACAGGTTGCCCAGAGAAGCTGTGGATGCCTCATCCCTGGAAGTGGCCAAGGCCAGGCTGGATGAGGCTTGGAGCAACCTGGGCTAGTGGAAGGGGTCCCTGCCCATGGCAGGGGGGGGCACTGGGGGGGCTGTAAGGTCCCTTCAACCCAAACCGTTCTACAAAGTCATGTCTCAGAGCTCACGTTCAGTAAAGCTTACGTACACCCTCTATGGGAGGATAGGTACGGGACAAAACTGGGTTCCAGAAACAAGTGAAGTAGGTGTAGCCCAGTAGGTGACTTTATTTATGGCCAATAATTATTCAACAGTAAGATAATCTCTGAATGAAAGTGATTTGTGCAGATTAAGTGAATGGAAAGTCAAGCTACTGCTCTACTGTGCTTTGGACTGCTGGGCCAGGATGTGCTGGGCACATCTTCAGAAGTGCCTGGAAACAGCCCTGTGCCCCCACTTCCTTCCACCACACAGCACAGGGTGCCGGTGACATGCCACAGGGACTCCTCATGCTACCCGAGCAGCCCAAGCTCAGGTTGGCTATAAACCCCTTTTGTCCTTGTAGCCTGCAAAACTGCTTCAGGAGGGCACTTGCAGCCCCAAGGTTTTCCACTGCCTGTTGCGTGATGTTAGTACAAGACCATCCCTACATGAGATGAGATGAGATGAGCTACAGAGGGCTGTACCAGCAGCCCACGCACCCTCTTCTTTTCTCCTTACGTTCCTCAAGGCTTGCCAGAGCCAAGACCTCTCGTCATGTGGACTGAACAATCGAAGTTCAAGCTCCAGCACAGCCTTGGAACTAGAGTGTGGATATACTTAGTGCCTTCTTGTCACATCTCGTGTGCGTGAACACACCCGGATGGTGCTGAGGTCAAGTGAACGCAGCAGCAGCCATCAGAGACGCTTGTAAACAGGACCTCTGGGGGAACTCAGCAGAAGGGAAGACCCTCCCCCTGCAACACCTGACACGCACACTGAGTTCATTAGATTTGTGTCTACCTGGACACAGACTCAGAGGAGGGATTCTGCACATTTCTGTGGAAGTTACACTGATTTCCTCTTTCTAGTAAAGGGTGGAACAGCATCAGCGTAAAGTGCAACGCAGTTACCTAAAGGAGATGATAGTGCAACACTTGCACAATAGGAGAGGAATGAAACGACAGGGCATGTTTTCCTCTGAGAGGTAGCAAACTGCGCTGCAGTTTCAAGGCCATGAAACAAGGGAAAAGGAGGAACAAAATATTTTGAACCATTTTGGATGATGGGTGGGTGGAATTGAGCTAGGAAAAACACCTTTGACAATGTTAAGTCGTTACTCACTCAGGAACCATGAGCGCGGCATTCCAAAGGGATTAGAAAAGCAGGGGCCGACGCTTTGCTGTGGTGAAGGTGCCAGCTGGGGATGTAGGCCAGGCTGAGACGGAGGTTCTGGTGGCTTGGCGAACACCCCCGCGGGTGTGTCAGATGGGGTAAAGGGGGTGGCTGCAGCTGAGAGAGAAAAAGTGTTTCAAGATTTAATTACCTATGCAAGGAGCAAGGAAGAAGAAAGGAAACAGTCATACTGGAGGCAGGGACGTGTAACACCTGAAGCAATCACTATAAGTACCCAACACCCCAACTGGTCCATGCGGTTTGTCACTGGGGCTCTGGGTGAGGAGCAGGTAACATCAGAGGCTTGTGGCTCTTACGGTTTCCGAGGAATATAAATTAAGGAAAAGAGAAAAAGACCAACTAAAGTAGCTCTGAACAGCAATCAAATCCATCCCCGGAACAAGTTTTGACAGCCTGACCATCCCGGAAACTTCCACCAGAAGGACGGACGTCTGAATTAGAACGTAAGTGGGGCTACACCATACCAGGTACGCCGCTGCCAAGCGGGAGCGGTTTCAGTGCTTCCCGGCCAGGACAGGGCTAGCAGCAGCCAGTACTCTGTTCTGATGCCATGAAGGCTAAAAAAGTTTCTCAAAAAGGTGCAAGAAGTCAATTTATTGGTAAAATTCACCTCAGAAACAGCTGTTGGAGCTTAATTTCTACTTTTTTTTTTTTTAACTTAAAATTCAGACTAATTTAAGCCTTTGCTGAGTGCTAAAACATTAATGGAGCTGCGGCAGCTTAAACAGATAAATATTCTTCCTGACAACAGTGTCACTTTATTATCTCCACACCTTAACGTGGGGGTAGAAAACCAAAGACATTCACAGTTGTGAGGACAGAGTTTGCACTGAGAAAAACTTCTCCTGGTTTACAGTTTGGGGGTTTTTTGGTAAAACCTTTGCTGAAAGGGTGGTGTGGAGCTGGCTGACGCGGCAGGTCAACGGGCGTTTGGTTCTGGTGGGAGGTCATCGTTTCATGTAAGCCGGGGGCATCGGCAATAATCTAAGAGCCAAAAAAACCTTCTAAAAGCGACTTGCAGCTGTTAAACAGAACCAGAGGTGACACTAACCAATCTGGACATTAAGTAATCAGGAAATGCTCCTTTTTCCTTCATGTGGCTCTTACATCCCACCACACTCCCCATTTCCTCACCCTTAAAGAGAGCTCATTCACGGCACACCTATTACCCTTCGTAGGAAGTTCTTCTTGTCTTGGGATGCAAGAGAACGCACTTCCTCTGAGTAAGTCGCTGTGGTATCTCCTCCCATAATTACACCCACGTTGAGCAGGAACACTGGCATTAGACACAGGTATTAGAGGAACTAGTTAATTAGTTTGACAAGTCTACAGGTATTAATAACAACTGCTAAGTACCTCTCCCCTCTCTCAAATTTCAGCTGGCAGCAGGAAAAGATTGCTGGGTTTTTCTTTTCATGATTCATGTGACTCGGACATCCTCGGAGCACAAAGCCGAAGGTGTATGCGATTCTCCTAAACTGCGGGAATGGCAGGTGAGTTCTGCGCGTCACTGTCACTCCCTTCCCTTCAGCAGGGCCTTGATTCCGGACTGAAGACACGTGCCCGTAGGTACCTGCTCAGCTTTGTCTTCTGAAGGGAAGTTTATACTGTAACTTGCTCTGGCACTTGATTTTCAAAGCTTTGTTGCTGCAAGGTCTGTTTGAGGGTAACTTCTGCGCTAAGCAGAGGATGTTCTGGGGGGAAATTCCTGTGACTTCAGAAGACACCATGCAGAACTCCAGCGCAACCCTTTGGGTTTAACTGCTCTTTCAGAGACGTGTTGGGCTTTGCGTGACCGCAGCTGGTGTAATCCCCGCTATCGGAGCGGTAAGCATGGAGCAGCTGATGGGCATGCAAAGATGCATTAAAACCCTGCCAAAGGAGAACAGCAATGACAATCTCTCTGCTTTTTCAAGCTTAAAATGAATTGAGCTAGGCACTGCAAAGAGGTTCTCTCTTGTTCACTGGTAAAACGAGTATTTTCAAACCAGTTTTTAAAACGTTGCCTTGCAGGGATACAGCAGCCAATGCAGTTCCCTGTGGTCCCAGCCATGCTAAAGATGCTCTTGTTCAGCCCATCAGCGCTCGCTCACGTCACTGCTTTGTGGTCTCAGACTACAAATAAAACCCTCTTAATTTAATTATGGCACTTCTTTTGCATAAGTTAGATTTTACATTTACTTCTTCTTCCAAGATTCTACGTAAACTGTTGTCTGACAGGCAGCTTACATTTCCAGATCTGACTTAGTATGTCACTGCTGCACTTGACGGTAGGAGACAGACTTGGAAGCATAACTGATGATGTCTGCCTAAGGGTGCATGGTGCCGTAGGCCTTAATCCATCCTTGCCATCCCCTTCTTCTGTTGTTGCTATTGTTTCCTTCTGAATTGCCTTTACAATGGTAGCGGTCACATCCTCCCATCCTGTCTCCCCACCCCAACCTCACTGAATTTATGACACTAGCATCGATAAAAGTGATTTGGAAGAATCTTCTCCAAGGTACTTGCCCTAAGCATGTGCCTCGTTGCAACGCGGCGCTCCCGGTGTGCTCCGCGGGCTGTCCCCGGGCAGGGGTAACAGGACCGTGTAACCGCCGAGCCCGAGCGGGGCAATAGAACACGAGCCGCAGAAGGGAAAACAACCCTGCAAGGGAGATCATACGCTTACGCACTTGCAAAAGGTAGTTTAGCACTGACGGTGGGAAGAGCTACTTCATGGGTTTTAAAACACAGGCAGTAACAGTATGTGTGCAGGGGGACAGGGTATCGGGGCATTCCAGGCACACTGTAAGTCATCGGAACTCCTCTAGGACATGACGGTAGCGCCAACTAGAGCCCCGCGGCCTGGTCGTCGCTGTGGACAGAGCTGAGTTCAGTCAGCCTGACTGCTTTGTCAGAAGCTCAGCCTGGGTCCTGAAATACCTCTCGTTCATTCACAGAAGACAGAGGGTGTCTCCCTAGGCATCTTTCCCTCCTCCCTGCCAATGGCATCAGGACGGAAGCAGGAAAACTGTGATGTCCAAACAGCTGTTTCTGGCATCCTAAGAACATATTTGTTGAAAATGCAGAGGTGCTACAGGCCACTTTATTTGGTGCTGACCATGACATGACACTGATTCGTCCCTGTAAACCTTTTTCTAAGTCCAGTGCTAAAGCAGCACCTGGCACTGCGCAGAAAGTACACGAGTCCTCTGCAAACAATGGCCCTTAAAAAACCCCAGCAAACACTTCCATTATTGACCACTGGATTTAATCAATCTAATGGAGCATCTGCTTTTTAACTGCCCTTCCTCCAGTGAAATATAAAGGCTCTTGGCATCCTCATCGTGCCACGTAACAGCAAGTTCCATGCTGACTGCTCTTCACGCCTCTCCTTCTGTTTTACAGATCTGACACCAACACACATCAGCTGGCAGCCCTCGGCAAACGCAGGCACCCACCACACCGACAGATATGGCAGCACGGAGATGGTGGTGAGGCGAGGACAGGCCTTCGCTATTACCCTGTACTTCAACCGGCCGCCGCAGCCTGGGGAGAGCCTCGCCTTTGTCGTTGAAACTGGTAACTCTCCCCCAGCTTAAGACAGGCCCTCCCAGAACTGTCACCTTTATCCCTTTAGTTCCCTTATTCTACTTGGACACGCAATTTCTCTTCCTGCATTTTTAATGCTTCACCCCCAAAGTGTTCGTTTCAAGCATGAGGTTAACACTCAAATGTCAACCAATTGCCTCTTCTTCCTGGTAGGACCATCCCCCTCTGAGTCTCACCGCACGAAGGCAGCGTTTAACCTCTCAGAGGTGGGGGCCAACGGCTGGAGTGCTGCCCAAGGACCCAGTGAGTCCGGTTACGTGAGCTTCTCTATATCCAGCCCAGCCAATGCCGTCATCGGACGATACAATCTCATCCTCCAAGTGACCTCAGGGAATAAGATCTTCTCCAGATTTCTGGGGCAGTTTGTGCTACTCTTCAATCCCTGGTGCCCAGGTAAGTTCCAACGCCTGCGCTCCGGAGCGCAGCCAGCCTCTTCGCCTTCCTGTCTGCAGGGTGAGCTGTCTCTCTTTGGGTCACCACCAGCAGCATCTCAGCTCTCTCTTCACAGATCTGGGTTTACTACATCAAAAGCAGCTGCCGCGCTGCCCCACCTGCACTTTTACCCTGATTAAACATGCCATAGGGGGTGACATAATAGACTCTTTCTGTGGGGCTGAGCAGATCAGCCTCATCCACAGGGAAAAGTGAAAGACCTTCACAAGCGCAGGACCTTCTCAAGCCTGGAAACAGGCATGCTGTAACATCCTTGACTTGCACCTACATCAAAAACTGCTCTTGATGTTAACTGCAACGACAGCAGCTCAACTACCTATAAAAACTGACAAAGGCCTGTTGTGAAGACTGGCACGTTCCACATCCTCCACGGGTTGGAAAGGGACATCTCTTGCTGCTCCTTTTGTGACTGACGCAGAAATGCAGAAGATCACTGCAGAAATGCCCTTTCCTAAACTAAGATTTTGCAGATAGGCAATAGTCTAGAAACCTCAGTTAGCCTTAAAACATGTCACTCCAGAGTTAAGGGAGCTCTTAAAGCAGCAAAGACTAAACACCTTATGAAAGAAAAGTAACCAGAGTCATCCGCTATTGTCTTTCGAGACCATATGTTAGTCAAGGGCCACTAACAAATACGCTAAGAGCAGAGGTGAAAAAAGCTGCTAATTAGCTCAGCATGTCTTGTAAGACAGCAACAGCTGGAGTATGTTCAGGACACTCAGGCTGCCCCTGCACAGATCGTCCTGAGGTTAAAAACCTTCCCAGAACCTCCTGGAAGATCACCTGTGGTGTCAGCTCTGACTGATGGGAACACGCTGCAGGGACTGAGGTGGTTGAGAGCTCCTGAACTGGAACACCAGAGTAGCAGTGGTATTCGCACTCGTGAGGCCAGAATAACCGTTCCTGGGGGAAACTGAGAAAAATTGAGCTGCACCATTCCAGACTGAAACTAATGGTTTTGCAGAAGACCCCTGCAGATTTACCAGACAATGCCATGACCTCTGCAAACAAAAGGGACTAACTTTACAGTAGGATGCTGCTGAGTAAGCTTCTTCAGAGTGGAATAGCTCCCTGATCCTAACGCACAGGAACGCATCCGGTTTGAGGGTCGGTGTCACGGCGGAAGGGAAGTAGAAAAGCAAAGGATAAATGGCAGATCTGGTCTGCAGATACGGTTTCACATTGGGAACTTACCCATTAAGCTGGAAAAGACAGGAATTAACTTGAATTGTTATAGCAGTAAAGAATTACTTCCATGGAATTGGTCAGGACTAGAGAGGAAAGGAAAAGCACTGGCTTGGGTAAAATCTAAGAGTGGGCCCTTCAGTGCCATCTGAAAAAACACAGGACAAACGGTTCCTTAGCAACTGATGTGCTGATGTTACGCAGCACTGCCCATACGCAGGGGGGCTGGGACACCACACAAATAACTGCCTGACCTTTGGCACTGGGGTATTGGAGAAGACGTTAAGATACAACAGTACCAAATAGAAGAAATAAAAATCATTGCAATGGCAGAATTACCAGCTGAAAATCAGAAAGAATGTGAAAGTCCTTGTAAATTGAAGGATGAGAACCAAAGTGAAATGGCACTGAACAAAGCAAATGCAAACCACAACTGACTAAGAAGAAACAGGTACTCAGGTGTAAATGTCAGTGCCGTTGTATGAGGTGACAAGATCTCAGTTGGAATTTTCTTTCGGTTCACCTTTCCTGAACAGGAATTACGAATTAGAACCTATTCAGTGAAGGGTTACCAGGATCACTGAACACATGAAGAGCCTTTTGGACATGAGAAAGTTTCTAGTTTAGCAAGTCAAAATCTGAGATACTTGCAAGCCAGCCTCTGATAATCATGGAATTGTTTATGCTGGAAAAGGCTTTTAAGATTGAGTCCAAGCTAACGTTAATCTTAACCTAACGCTGCCAAATCCACCACTAGACCATGTCCCTGAGCTCTGCCTCTTAACCACCTCCAGGGATGGTGACTCCACCACTTCTCTGGGGAGCCCGTTCCAGTGCCTGACAGCCCTTTTGGTGGAGAGATCTTTCCTCAAATCCAATCTAACCCTCCCCTGGCACAACGTGAAGCCACTTCCTCTTGTCCTGGGCAGGAGGTACTAATGCTACTGAAGGAAAATTCAGTTAACTGCTAGAACGAAGAGTGCTGACTGAAGTAAACGAATGATCACGCACCACTTATCCACAGCTGGCAAGTGAACACGTCAACTGTAAAGCATAGGGGATAAAAGCAAATTTTGTAGAACGTATCTTTTCCCCACGTCTAATGCTTGCTGCTTGTCTCCGTGGCAAAGGTTATGTGACGTTACTGCGGGCGTATCTTTAGGAAGCTTACCTGCACGCCGATGACAAACCTGCGTCCTGCTTGTTTCGTACTATGCAAGGACAAACTTCCACTTCAGGCTGAGAACACAGAACACACACTAACTTTGCATTTCTGTATTAAAAGGAATTAATTTAATCAAGGAGTAGGTCCACGGTGGTCTGTCCTCCCATAACTGCCAAAAGGAGGACTACTGTGGCTGACTGCAGGGTCTTTGCTCCTCGTTTCTAGAGAGGAAGATAAGAAGGGTGTGTTACTGTTCAGCCATACTTGAAAACATTTCTTGTGCTGTGCTGCAGGGTTTTTCCTCCTTTTAAACTAATGTTACTCTTGCTCTGAGTTACTGATAGGAATAGTTTCATTATAAGACAGCTCTCAGTATGCCGATTCAAAGATCTGGCTCTAGAACATTCTAACTGAGAGCATGCGAATCTCAGAGAACAGATGTTACTCAAGTGACTACAGAAGGACATTTAGGTCGCTCAGAATCTTGAAGCCACAGGGCTAGAAGGGTCTTAGAAAGTTACCTAGCCCCACCCCATGCTCTAAGGCAGGCTCAGTGCGCACTTGGGTCACTCCTGACAGATCTTGAATTCCTGCTTTCCGCTCAGCCATCAGGGAAGCTCCAGTGCCACCCCCAGCAATTCACTCCAATAAAACCCCAACCTTTCCATTAGAATTCTTCCTATTAACTAACCAACCAGCACACAACCTCTCATCCTACACATGGCACACACCAAGAACAGGTTTTCTCCTGCCCGCCCCATCCTCTTCACAAGCATTTCTGGAATCGATTGCCATGCCTTCTTCATTCCTCACACCCTTTTTTTCCTACCTTAAACAATTCTGAGTTCATTCCTAAGTTATGTTTTCTTCCTAAGTTATATTTTCAGGATTACTGAACATTCTCAGTGCTCATCTCCTGCTTTCCAACTGGTCCCCACCTTGAAGTGCAGCTCCTAGAACTGCACACAGCTCTCCAGGCCCATGCTGACCCAAAAGCTTGGGAATCAGCAGTGATGATATCATTTAAAAAAATAGTAAGTGAAGCGTGGACAGCCACTCCAAGACTAGATTTATATCCCGGGATAGAATTTTTAAAATAAATTACACAATCCTTTCATTTGCAGAAAGCAAAGGCTGGGAAGTTCCTATAGAAAGTTGACTCAGTAAAATGGAAAAGCTGAATTTTATAGAGATTTCCTGAAGCTTTCAGAAAATAAATTTCAAACATTCTGAGTTTAAACACAGAGCTGAGTGGATTTTGCTACCTAAAGACTGCTCAGAACAACCCAACCACGGCTGGGAAGCCTGTGCTTTCCAAACAGCTACACACTGTGCCCCAGATGAGGGAAACCACGTAGCTGCAATCACAGCGAATGGTTGAGCAGGCTATCCTAACGTTTCTGAGAGGACCTGGAGCAGGAGAGACCTTCGTTTAGGAATGTTAAAACAAGACAAACACAACTGGAAAGCAGGGAAAAATGTCACCTGTGTGATCCTTCTCAAACGTCTGTTCTACCTCCGGCTACACCGAAAAGGCAGAGAAATCCAGTGAGCCAGGCTGGGCCTTTCTCCGTCTCCCCCCCAAAGCCACAACATGCGGAGAGGGGACATTCAGATGCTGCACAGGGGCTATACTAAAATTAGGGGAAAAGGTTAATGTAACACAGGTTTCCAGCCCTGCCCCACCCCACAGCAGGCGTTCCCACTGCGTGGTACCTGCAACGATGCCTTTTACAAAGGCCGGGTTTCCCTTCCCTAAACCCAGACACAAAGGTTGCTGAGGGGTTGCTCAGATCGTCAGCTCCAAGGGTAAAGGCACATCCAACTTGGCTTTCAGGTGACGATGTCTACATGGCTAATGAAAACGAGAGGCACGAGTATGTTCTAAACGAGAATGGAATAATCTTTGTGGGCAACGCAAAGTACATTGAAGCAAGAGGATGGTACTACGGACAGGTAAGGTGTAAGGAATTCATTTGGGCTTTTACTCTGTCTCCAGTAGCGTTTCCTGTGATCACTGTTTGCCCCTCTGCCAGGCATGCCTGTTTCTGTGCCAGCTGCCCAAGCCTGGCCAGCCTCGCACCGTTTGCTCAGGGGGTGCCCAAGGGCCTCGGTGTGCGAGGTGGCCCAGCGCAGCCCCGCAGCCAGGACCGACTGCTCACGAACGAGTGTGGGCGGCACCTGTGCCCGAAGCACCCAGAGCACAAATGCCAATATACCTGTGCGGCCCCATCACACCCACTGCCGGAAGCAGGGCCAGGGCTGACCGTCACAGAATCACGGGTTGGGTTGGACGGGACCTTGGAAGGTCCCTTAGCCCAGCCTCCATGAAACGAGCAGGGACAGTTTCAACTACATCAGCCCCATCCAACCTGACCTTGAGCGCTTCCAAGGACATCCCTCTAGGGAATCCAACAACCGCAGTCGCACTATGCCTGGCAGGTTCAGCTTTACTGCAGTCATCAGTTCTGCCAGGTTGGGACTTGACTTAGAGTCAGCCTTGTCTTCAGGCAGCACTGCAGCGCACACTGCACGCTCCTGGCTTCACGCCTCGCTGCCCCGTCACCTTTGGGCTGGAGTATCTTAGAAAGGAGGAACTGGAGTAGAATCTGCTCTAATTCTGTTTGTGAAACGATCTATTGTCTTAAAAATGTATCTTATCTGATCACAGTTTCAGGATCAACTTCTAAACATCTGTCTCACCATGCTTGATCTGAGCCTGTACTATCGTCAGGACTCAGCCATTGATGTATCCCGAAGAGGAGACCCTAAATATGTGGGCCGAGTAATCAGTTCTATGGTAAGAAGTGGACAACTTCATCTGAATTCCATGTGCTTAAGCAGAAGGCATCAGCTATACTACTGCGCCTCCGCCTCCTGCACCTTAAGCAGTACAGTTAACCAGGTACGGTACGTTGCACACAACTGACTTTGTGCATTCTGTCCCCTGGACTATTTTCAGATCAATGGAAATGATAATGATAACGGAGTTCTCCTGGGAAAGTGGCAAGGAAGCTTCCATTCACATGAGAACCCATCCCGCTGGGACGGCAGCGTGGTTATCCTCCAGAAGTGGCGCCAGGACAACTACAAGCCTGTTCAGTATGGCCAGTGCTGGGTTTTCGCAGGCGTGATGTGTACAGGTGAGCTTTAACTCTACAGGACTGCGGTGAAAGGGAGGCATTTGCGAGCCCTGGTTTTATCAGAACGACGCAGCGATCAATCCTGCAAGAGGAACAGTGCTCTGCGGGCTGCACATGCTGAAGAACCACGGAACGTGTGGACACTTCACCTGGTTTCTCAGCTCCCACTGAACTAAAGCTCTGCGTGTTATTTGTGTTTCCTTGGTTTTTAAATGTATTTCAGTTCTGAGGTGCTTGGGGATTCCAACTCGTCTGGTTTCAAATTTCAACTCTGCCCACGATGTGGATAGAAACCTGAGTATTGACAAGTACTACGACAGCTCGGGGAAGAGTCTTAATATCGGCAAGGATTCCACATGGTAAATACAGCTTCTTTGCATTCCACCAGTAACTACAGAGAGGATTTACGAGACTGAGAACGTGAACACTGGTAGTACGAAAGTAACTGAGTGGACAAAATTTAATACAGTATCTAAATCAATATACTAGACATCCATTTGGAAGGAAAGTGTGCTTCACGGCTTTGAGATAAGTCCCTTCAAACAACCAACCAGCCCAATTTTTTGCAGTCCCTGACCAGAAACAAGTTGCAACCTTCCTTACAAAGTAGGTTTCCATTGCCAAGATACCAGATCCAAAGTTCTTGTAATTACAGACACCTAACCAGTTTGTTCCTATCATGCAGCCATTACTGTCCATGCTCTTGACTGGTTTACTGCTGCCATAACTTTCTCTCCTTGCACATCCAAAGCCTGTGTTTCTTGGCCTGCCATCTTCCCCAGATAGATGGCAACCTCTCCGGGAAGCTTTCCAACACTCTAGCTACACCTTCCCTAGCTGAAGAAGAGAGACCAATGCCAGCCCTCGCCAGACTGGGCCACTGTACACTGCAGCCCAGTGCTGTACACTGCAAGTGATCCATGATTGTCAATCAAGCCCCAAAACTTGAGTAGCCAAAGAAACATGATATTCTTATATTATACCATTCTGTACTTTAGTTGCCCTCCAGTTTTGAAGTCTTCACTTTGCAGAAAGTGAACTAACTAGGCTCAAGGGCACCTCCTCTACCTCAGCCTCTGTGCACAGCAGGCTTTACCAAAAGTCCCATCTCTGCTCAGGCTGCTTCCTTTCATTGGTGTGCGTGGCTGAAGGACACGGGAAGTCTTACACCTCTTAATTTCCTCAAAAGTACTAGTGTCCCAACAAAATTCAGCCAACAGATCTTTTCTGCGTTCCCCACATTTTACCAATCTCTTGCGCTAACCTTTCCTTTAGAGTTCGTGGAACTCATTGCTGCTGGATGCTGCTGAAAACAAAGCTACGCAGTGGTTTTAAAGAGAACAAGAGAACTCTGACTGTTACACCCAGTGGTCTCAACGTAACATCTAATTCAGAAAGTCCCTAATTCTCCGACTGCGAGAAATCGTAGAGCAGATCAGGGGAAGGGGCATTCTTGCCACGTAGTGCTCTTACCGCTTTTCTGAACATCTGCTGCTCACCACAGATGGACTGTGGGACTCTGAGCATTCTATCAGACCCTCTACTGCGGGGTTTAGTTTCTGTTTAAATGAAGCATTTCCCACGTTTGAGGGTTACTGAACCCAAGCACTGCCTATATCCAAGGCTTAAGCCTCTCATCTGCAGTTCATATTGCTCGCAGGGGAGGCTGCTGCGCTCTCCCCCTTCACGCACTGAGCTCCCCTCCTCGAACCAGGCAGTACACCCCTGCTGCGAAAGAGGCACTGAGCCGCTGACACTAGACAGAGGGTGTCACACCTTAGAGCGCCTTTAAAAAACAAAATTCCCCACTCCGACCCTGCTTTCTAGACATTGTTCTTTGTCTCCAGGGATTATCACGTCTGGAACGAAAGCTGGTTCGTTCGCCCAGACCTGGGAACATCGTACAACGGGTGGCAGGTTTTAGATGCGACCCCACAGGAGCAAAGCAAAGGTAGCAGTGGAGGTTCTTAGCTCGACTTCACATTCCTTCTCCAAACTGAGCGTGACTAATGAAGTTTGACTTTTCCGCCCCCCATCACAGGATTATTTCAATGTGGCCCTGCATCTGTCACAGCCATCAAAGAAGGTGATGTAGACTTGGATTACGACACTTTATTTGTATATACGGAGGTGAATGCTGACTGCAACAGATGGATTGTATACAACGACGGAACTAAGAAAAGAGTTTATTGTGATACGGAGATAATTGGCAGGTTTATCAGCACCAAAGCTGTGGGCAGCAACTCCCGTGTGGATGTCACCTGTAATTACAAATATCCAGAAGGTAAGGGAATTACCACAACTGATC